AATCTGACCTTGCAATTCATTATTCTGTTTAGTTAATTTAGAGAGAGTGTCCTGCAGAAAAGTAACAAAGAGAGGAGTAGATTCTTAGAAGAAAACTCTAGAAGAGCTTGTAATGCAAGGAAGGCAGAGCTCGAATCTGAGAGGTTATTTACATTGAGCCTAAGATGACTCAGCTGATACCATAGCCCAGTTCCCTGGTGCCTCTGGGGCTGCTAAAGATAATGCATCTTCAGATCCCACATATCTGGCACAAAGAAATGTCAAAGAGAAAAAATCTCTGAGCTTGCTAGGGGTAAAAGTAGAGTTTTATTGAGAGACGTACAATTCAGGAATTGGGCAACATTCAATTCCAAGAACAAAGTGCTCCGAAGTCTGAGAGGGGAGAGGGATTTTTATATATGAGGGCTAGGGGTTACATATGAGTCACAAGTAAATTTTCATAATGCCAGTTAATCTAATTTCCATCACAGACTTTCTGAGGGCAACCTGAATAAGCATTCTTCTGATAACATTCTGCATAAACATTTTCTCCTGAGAACAGAACATTTTTGTCATGCTCTTCCTGAAACATTTTTGTCATCAACTTAAGCAAGCATAACCACATAGTTTGTCACCCAAAAAGGTGGGGGGAGGTGCACGTATTCTGAAAGCAAAGCAGGGATCTAGGGCAAAAGAGAATTTGATTCAGACCTGTGTCAGCCATCTTAGTCATGCCACGCTCTTCAGTCTTAAAGTACAAAACCCAAAAAAGAACACAGCAACAGCAAACAAACTCTGATAAATCTCAAAAATCTTCAATAAAATGCTAGTTTATATTAAAAGAAATACTTCATAAAAATTGGATTTTTACCAGAAATGCAAAGATTAGTCAGTATTATGTATTCTAGTAATGTAATTAACTAATTTATTAGATGAAAAAGGAAAAAAAATATGATTATCTCCACATGTGTTAACAAGGTATGTAGCAAAAATTAAAAGTCATTCCTGAAACATAATCTTAATAAAGTAAGAATTACTGGAACTTCATTAAAAGGCTGTTGCGTTGTCTGGTAATATCCTTGCATTGTCTGGAAAGAATGACAGTATCAACTGATATTATAATTTCTATGGCAATGAAGAAGAGTAAAAACTGTTTTTGCTTTTAAATTACTAGAGAGAAAAAATACTTCCAAAAAAGATGAATGCGAGCTAAAATACGGCAAGGAAGGAGAGGAAAAAAAAATATAGAACAGAGACAAATAGAACACACTTTGTGAAAAGGTAGAGTTAAACCTAAATATACAAATAGTTGTATTAAATGTAAATGCACTAAATGCTCCAAGTAAAAGAAAAAAAATTGTCCAATTTAATTTTAAAAACCTTAAGCCCTTTGAGAAGAGAAGATACACATCTCTAAAAATACTTATTAAGAGAAAATGCACTCATTTTCAATACCAGTAATAAAACAGAGGACTTCATTATAAGTATCTAGATATTAATAAGGTAATTAGAGGATTCATGAACAACTTTAAGCCAATGAATTTGAAAAAAAAAAGATGGAGAAATTTATAGAGAAACATAAGTTACTAAAACTGAAATACAGAATATAGAAATTTGAAGAGCCTTATGTCTATTAAATAAATTAGATCTGTAATTTGAAACCTTCCAAAAAGAAAGTCACCAGGCCCAGATAGCTGCATGAGGGAATTTTCCAAAATTTTAAGTAAAAAATGTCATCATTATTGTAAAGACTTGTCTAAAGAATAGAAAAGGAGGAGAGACTTCCCAGCTCGTTTTATGTAGCTGGCATAACAGAGAAACTAAAACTTAACAAGGACATTGCTGGGGAAAAAAAAAAAAAAAATTACATGCCAATCTCTCACAAGGACATAGATGTAAAAAAAAAATCCTTAACAAACTACTAGCAGGTTAAATCTATTGATACATAAAAAGGGTAATACTTCACAACCAAATTAGTTTTTTCCAGGGATACAAGCTCAACTCAACATTTGATTATCAATCTGTGTAACTCACCACATTCAGAGGAAAAAGGTGAAAAATCACACGATCATCTCAATAGATTTAGAAAAGGATTTGATAAAACTCAACACCCATTCATGTAAAACTGCTTAGCAAACCAGGATTAGAATAGTAAAAAAATCCTTAATCTGATAAAAAGTATCTATCAAAATCTTACAGTTTGTTTTTTTTTTTTTGTTGTTAGGTGACTTTGAGTCGGTTTTCAACGCATCCACAACCAAACCCAAATCCGCTGCCACCGAGTTGATTCCGACTCATGGCAACCCAAACTCTGATGGCGCAGTAGTTAAGTGCTCTGCTGCTAACTGAAAAGACAACTGTTCAAACCCACCAGCTGCTCTGTAGGAGATAGCTGTGGCAGTCTACTTCCATGAAGATTACAGCCTTGGAAACCCTATAGGACAGTTCTACTTTGTCCTATAGGGTTGCTATGAGTTTTGACTTATAGTGACCCCATATGACAGAGTAAAACTCTTCCATAGGGTTTTCTGGACCATAATCTTTACGATAGCAGATTGCAAGGTCTTCCTCCTGCAGAGCAGCTGGTGGGTTCAAACCGCCAAACTTTCAGTTAGCAGCGAAGCACTTAACCATTTGTGCCATCAGAGCTCCTAAAATTATGGAAAAAAAAAATTTAATGTTTTTTGCTTGAAGTTCCCTTGAATAGAGGTAGCAATAAAACACTGAGCTGTGCATTTTTGTTTTGTGCTTTTCTACATGTGTGGGATTTTTGACAATCAAATCTGTTAACAAGTAGATAAGTATTTTTAATGGCATGTCAAGTGCAGACACTTAGGAAAAAGAGAGTTGAAATGAAGAGTAAGAAGTGTGCATTTGACTTATAATACCAATGAAACATTTCAAATGGATTGGCTCTAGGATGATTTTCATCAATGTAGTCTTCACACTTTAATTTGAATTATAGCTTTATTGATTTTCTTTTTCCTTCTTTCTTTCTTCCTTTTTTGAATTATGATAAACAATGAAGATTAAAATTTTCTTTTAATGGAGGTTAGTTGAATTTGTTTTTCTGACTGAAAAGATTTATATTCATTCAGCAGCAATTAAGTTCTCATGAAAGTATACGGAAACTAATAAAATTTTTTTAAAAGTTCAGAAAAAGAAACTTTAAAAGCTTTGGGTGACATATTGAATTTTTGTCCCTCATTCTCCCCTCCTTGTATCCTTGCCATTAGTCATATGGCTGTGCAGTTTCTCCAACTATAGGTGGGTGCAATGTAGAGAATTACTTTATATGGCCCTTCTTGCCATGCATGGTCTAGTGCCTCCCACAAAATGATTGGGTGGGACTATACTAACAAGGTGCCTGTGGCCCACTAAGGGGATTGGACAGCCTGCTGATAATGCAAATAAGGTGCCTGGAACACTTGAAAGGGTGGAAGTATGCAAATAAAGTATATGGAACCCTAAAGAGGAGCAAGGAGGATGCTGGTGTCACTATTCAGTTCTTCCCTACATCACATGAAATTGCTTTTTTCCTGCCAGACGCTGTGATCCCAGGACCAGGGATGCAGCTGCAGGTGCTGAAAGTAGGGGTGATCTCAAGCAAGAGACTCTAGCTATACCCCTGGATCTGTATGTCAGAATTCTCAAGGGCCTGATGGGGTGGATTGTACCTTTCCCCCATCTGACAAAATTGGAGGTGACAGTGAATACTACCATATTACCTAGTGGTCGAGATAGCCCACTAGTATTATACTTATGGAACCGAAAGATGAGAGGGAGTGTACTGAGAGTAGGGGGAGTAGTTGATGTTAGAAATGATGAAGTGATTCAATAGTTCAGAGAAGTTGGACATTTGGAACATCTTTAACCTCTATCTCATAGAAATCAGCTTTGTGCTGATCATTATAAAATAAATTATTCATTTAGTGAAATATGCTTCTTCATGTATTCATTTTGGGCTCAGGCAGTGGAACTTGGGCAGAAGTGACAGTGTACCAGTTCTGTGCCTAAGCTTTAAGAGATATCAGACAATTTTGCTGACTCCTCTCTTCCATGGCCATAAGGAGATGATGACCCAGCTAGCCCAGCAGTTCAAGAAGAATGAGAGACCTCAGACTAACCAGCAATAGGGAGCAAGCCCAGCCAGACCACAATTTGGAACCAAACTTGCCAGCCAAGTCCAGGCTAGATCATCCAACCCTCAACCAACTGCATACATGTGAGCAAAAAAAAACGTTTTAAGTGACTTCAGCCACTGAGCTTTGAGGTGGCACATTAAGCAGCAATTCTGACTAAAACATAGACTTAGAGGAAGGAGCTAATAAAACCCCAAATCTTTCTGATTAATTAAAATTAGGTATATACAATCATGTATTCATAATCCATATATACATATATTGGGTCCAATAATTGAAAGAAGAGTCATGAGTAAGGTAAATAATAAGAAATGGGAAAACAAAAGAAAAAAGATTATGCAAAATTATTTTAATTCCTTTAACTCTGGTTCCTTGTTAAATTTTGGAGCCCTGGTGGTGCAGTGGTTAAGAATTTGGCTGCTAACTAAAAAGGTTAGCAGTTTTCATCCACCAGCCGCTCCTTAGAAACCCAGTGGGGAAGTTCTACTCTGTCCTCTAGGGTCACTATGAGTCAGAATCGACTTGATGGCAACGTGTTTGGTTTTTTGTTTTGTTACATTTTATGCCATTACATATAAGCTAGTAATACTTATTGAAAATTATTAAATAATGTTTAATAGTTGAACTTTTTATTTAAAAGTCAAGCATGGGGGAATATGTTAATGGCTTTTAATCTCAAGTAACTACACACAGGATAAAATGCATACTGTAAAATGAGTAGCATTGTAACATCACCCACTAGGTGGAAACTTGTAGAATTGTGATGCATAGGAAGAAATTATCGGATTTTGGAAGGTTTTCTTTGCAAATTCAATCTATACCAGCAATGGATAAGGCCATAGCAATAAAGAGAAAATAAAACAAATAGTAGATACCAACCTGATGTCTTCTGGTACCAGTAATAAAACAGTAGAGCAACAGCAACAAAACCAAGAACACCAAACAGTCCCCCAAGAGTTTTGGCTATGACAAGGTCTCTTCTATATCCATCAGGTCCTGAGGAAAGAAACCAGTGCCTCAGCCTCAGAGGGAAAAGAGCAAGCTTTTAAAGGTAAAGGTTGGGCCCTGGAATTCTTATAGAAAATGTGGGAGTAGTAAATACAAATTAATGTAAGAGGCTACTAAGTATAGTCTTTACTTTTCAGGTTAGTGTGAGGAGAAGATAACCAGACACTGAGATCACCCTCTCTACCTCTCAACACATAGTAGACATCATATAGGACACTACTTATCTTCTGAAATCATAAAAGTTACCAATAAAGAATTTGGATGTGTAGTGTAAGGAAGTAGAGGTCAGTCATAGAAGAGATGTGATGCCTCATAAAATAGCACTTCAGAGCCAGAGGGTGGAGGCCTGTGGAATCTGGAATTATAATTTGTGGGAAAATGTATAGTTTGCTAATTATGATATTGATCATAATACTCCTATATCCAGTACCACCAACCCACCTGTGACATTGAGTGTCACCACATGACTGCGCTGAGCCCTCAGGCCATTGCTGGCCTCACAGGAGTAGTTCTCAGAGTGCTCTGAGGTCAGAGAGAGATTGAAGGATGCTCCTCCTCCAAAAGATGCTGAGCTGTTCCCCAGGATGACATCCTCATGATAGAACCAGTACAGGATTGGGGGAGAGCCTCTCCGGACCTCACAGTGAAGCTCTACCGTGTCCCCCACCGTAGCCTGGGCCCCAGAAAGCCCAAGAGTGAGGACAGGGCGAGACACTGGAACTAATAGAGAAAAAGGGGCTGTCAGAGAAGATTTTTGATGCTTCAGTAAACTTACAAACCCCCATAATGGGGTCTCAGCAAAGGGCTTGGCCCTTTGTCATGCTGTATTGCTTCCATTCTCACATTCCCACTAGAATAATCAGAGGTAATTTTCTCAAAGGTGTATTTAGTAACTTAGGGGAATACCAAATCTGAGATACTGCCTAGGACATTGTCATTTCTTCTTGTCATCTTATTTTTTTTCTTATGCCAATCCAGATTTCTTTATGTTCCACCAAAAGAAAGATGTCAACAGTTTAACTTGCAACGGTAAACCGTTCTCAAATTGCTGTTTCTTCTCTACAGCATTGATCCCTATGGCTGCCTGGAATTTTCTCATCACTTCTATGTACTATGACTCCAGTTTTGGAATTCCCACCTGAGATGAATGATAGTGGGACTCACTTCTTACAGTGACGTTCACCTCACTCCAGATGGGACGGTGGCCGTTGTCAGCTCTGCAGTAATATTTACCAGCATCGCTCTCCCTCACAGCCAGGATCTCCAGCTCTGCTGACAGGGAATGCTGGGTCTTATTTCCCAGACTGGTTTCTGTGGCGTCTTTGTGCCAGGAGAATGTGATGTTTCCTGTGCCCTCAGACACTGAGCAGAAGAGGACCAACTTCCCTCCTTCAATCGCCTGCCCTCCTGGGGGCTGGGTTTCTAAACTCACATTAGCGACGGGCACTCCTGGGTGGATATAAGATAACATGTGAGAACCCTGACTATAGAAAACTCTGGGACCGGGGCAAAGACTGATTCTACTCCCTATTGCAGAGAGTGGGAATATAGGGATTTACATATAATCCATTATAAGTATTCCTACAGATGTATGGAATCCATTATAATTAGCCTTGAAGAATGCGGATACAGATACTTGTATGTCCCAACCTTGATTCTGGCTAATTTCATGGAAGAGATCACTGAAGAATTTGTGAGGAACCATCTACTCCATGAGACAGGAAATTTTTTTGCTTGAGTTGCTGTGCAGATAGATGCCCTTTACATAGAATGAAGAGGGACACTAGTGGCATCAGCCCTACCTTGGAAAAGACATTATTCCTAATAACAATTCCAATAACAATTCTTCCTTCATTTCCCATTTCAAGGCCCAGCCCAAATCACAACCCCTCCATCCCAAAGCGTCCTCTGACCACTTGAATTCACTCTAGTTTCTGCTTTTTCTGATGCTTTATTTAGTCCCATACACTGCAGGAGTACATTGCCTTATAATAAGTCCCGGTGTGTTGCAATCCCAGCAGATCAGCCATTTGGAGACAGGAACCTTACCTTTTAAAGTTGCTGGCCTACTGCTAAGTGCCACACACACAGTCAGTGATAAAGAATATTTGACTATTTTACCGAAAAAGACGAAATAGATTATAGGGAGCTTACTCCATTTCTGTTTCTTATAAATAGAGATATCCAGAGCAAATTGGAGAGTTTCTCTAGCCCAGTTCCCACTTTCCACAAGGACAAGAGTTGCACAAAAGGGCAAAAAGACTAGCAGTCTCAGCTGAAGCTACAGCACATCTTGGTTTTCTTTCCAGGCTCAGCCCTACTGATACTTACTCTGCACATGAATGTGAGATTTGAGGCTCTGCTTTTTGACCCTATGAGTCACTGTCTGTGCCTCGCACCAATAAGACCCTGAATCTTGGCTCCATATAGTAGGGATCTGGAGCTCTGGGGACCTGCTCCAGCCTGGCCCCAGGCTCTGGTCTTCTCTGAAGAAGAAGAATTGAAGCTCAGTGTCTAGCCTCTGTGGAGGAAGCCAAGTCTCACAGGTCAGGGTCACTGGGGTCCCCTCGGTGAGCTGGGAAGGACTCACTGTCAGCACAGGAGGTGGAAACAACTCTAGAGAGAAGGATCACAACAGTCCCCAGAGCAGTGAGATTCAGAGTTCCTGCTGAAAAGAACCTGGTGAGAAGCAACCCCAGCAAACAGGACACTCAGAACCAGACATACCTCCCTTGCATCGTCAAACCACCAGCATTCCAGTTCATGCTTGGTGCATGGCAAGCTTTCCCCTGCCAGATATCCACTCTGCTCTACTGCCCAGCCCCAGCTCACACAGGAGAGAAGATTTTACCTTGGACTTTGATCTTTACTGCTTCTGAAGTTTTTTTCCAACTGAAAATAAATTGTCCGGAAATGGCACAGTGGTACTGGCCACTGTCATTGAAAAGTGCCCTTTGGATAAGGAAGTTTGAGACGTATGTTGACAAAAATAGCTCTCTTCCATCCTTGTAGTAAGACATAGTTTTTATTTTTCTGTTCTGTTTTACCTGGCATTTCAGAACTATACTGTCTCCTTCAAAGACAGAAGAGGGGGCCAGAAGGGTCGGCCAGTCTGCAAGAGAGGGGTAGAGAAATTGGATTTACCTTTCCTGTAGAGAACTCAAGTGCCTGACCTGCTCCCCTGCTGTTGGGCAGTGAGATGGTGTCAGGAATTGCCTCTGTAACTTTAGACAAGATAGAGGTTCTAATCCATGCCGTAATTACTCAAGACTGCATCCATTTTTACCAGAGGGAAAGAGGATGCCAAGGTAACCATAACTTTTTGCATAGATGGAGGAACGTTCTGCTAAAGCTTCTTTCCTTAGCTCTGTCCACTAGTGACATCACACAGGAGACCACCATCCCCAGCAGGGACACTAATTTCCCATTCCCCATGTGTTCATCCATGAGTCAGAATCAATTAAACAACAACTAACCACCACCACAATAACATGCATTCATCAACCAAAATAATGGGTTTCAAGTCTGTGAGGTGGGTGGACTTGGGGAACCAGTAGGGGTGATAGTGAAGTCAAAGACCCTGAGAGCAATGTCCTATGGAATTGGCATAAGTTGATCCACAGCTTCTACCAGGGAACCACAAAGACTCAGGCTATGTGCCATTGTGATGAAGGTCGGAAACCTCCAGAGTTATAATCTGTGTACCAAAAACCAGTTGCTGTCCAGTCAGTTCTAACTTATGATGGCCCCATCAGTGTCGGAGTAGACCTGTGCTGCACAGGATTTTCAAATGGCTGATTTTTCAGAGTAGATCACCAGGTCTTTCTTTCAAAGTGCCTCTTACCTCCAACCCTTCAGTTAGCAGTTGAGCGTTCTGGTGGTTAAGATTGTGTGTCAACTTGGCTGGGCCATGATTCTCAGCGTTTTGGCAGTTGTATAATGTTCTGATCACTTACCTGTTGAGATGTGATATGTGATCGCCCCCATGATGGGATCCAATATGAGCAGGCAATCAGTTGAAGGGGAGTTTCCTTGGGCATGTGGCCTGCATTGAGTGTGGGTGGACTTTCAGGCAGGGCTTGGGAGGGCTTTTGTTCATTCTAGATCTTGCAGCTGGCTCCTGTTCATCTGACCTCTGGTTCTTGGGAATTGAGCTAGCAGATTACCTGCCGATCTTGGTACTCGTCGATCTTCACAGCCTGTGAGCCGTAGCCCTGCCCTTCAGCTTACCTGACGATCTTGGGTTTGCCAGCCCCTGCGGCAACGTGAAACAGGAGAAGCCTTTTTCCTGGCCCACGGACTTGGGACATTACAGCTTCTACAACCTCGTGAGACATTTCCTTGATATATATATATATATGCTTTACTGGTTTTGCTTTTTTAGAGAATCCAGCCTAAGACAAATGTGTTAACTGTTTGCACCATCCAAGGTGTCCAATCTGTGTACACCACTTCTTAGTCTTGTGAAAGGAGTCAGAGGCTCTAGAGGGGCAAGGGGGAAAAGCCCTAATTCTGACTCATTTATCCTCAAACCCAAAAAAACAAACCCATTGCCACTGAGTCAATTCAGACTATCCTCAGGGAGTTCCAAATCCTCTAGCAACTAGCTTTGATTGGGAAAAGCCAAACAGACGCAGGCAGGCTGAGGCAGGCACTTACAAATGCACCCAGTAGGGATCCCTCTGATCTAGGAGAATAAAGAAGAGAACTGTATTGAGGGGACAATGGTAAGAGACAGGGAGAAGGTTAGTTATGAATGAAGGACCTCTGGGGTAGGGCAAATAAATAGGACCACAAAGATTTAACTAAGGGCAAGATACATAGATGTGAAGATTTTTTTTTTCTACAAGAATTCCAATGTATAATGTTTTTAACAGAACAACAGCAAGAGTAGAAGGCAAGCCATATTTCTCAGGAGTTTGCATGCAATGGAAGGTCACAGGTGGTGAGGGCAATGTGTGGGTTGGGGCTAGAAGGAAGACTGGACTGAGGGAGAGTGTGGGGAGAGAAAGATATTTTCAGCTGCTGCACTGAGTGGCATTTCCCATGGTACAGGAGAGTGGAATCCTCTGCATATTAGACTTTTCACTGGAGATAAGACTGAGGTTCTGGGAGGTCAAGTGACTGCTCAGGCTACACACCTAGTATATAGCAAAGCCATGATTTAAATCCAGTCTTTGTGTCTGTATAGCTACTGCTGAGTCCCTGGGTGGTGCTCACCTACTAACCAAAACTTGGAGGTTGATGTCCACCCAGAGGTGTCTCAAAAAATAGGCCTGATGATCTACTTCCAAAAAAATCAGCCATGGAAAATTCTATGAGCCCAGTTCTACTCAGACATACATGGAGTCCCTATAGGTTGTAGTCAACTCAACGACAATTTTTTTTTTTTTTTACTACATCGTGTTGAGTAAAGTTCCCTTTTATTCTTTTGTGAAGGGAAAGATCTCAAAGTCCTGAGGAGCCTTTCAGCTTTCTGAGACGCTCTTGCGTAGGGAAAGAAGAGAGAATAAAGTGGCAGTTGCCCTGTTGTCTGAATGGTTGTGGGTGAGTCACTGCAGAGAAAACATGCTTGATATCACACTGAGACTGAATAATAGCATGGATCCTATTTTGTGGTCAGAAATCGCCTGAGTCTTGACTGAGATTTCCTCTAATTTCCACCCAGACAGGAAGTGGAGTGCTGAGTATCACAGGGTAAGCTCAGGAACCTCACATGAACCAGAAGAAACACAAGAGATGAAACTTGCTCTAGAACAAGCTCCAGACCAGGACCTCCGCAGGTGTCCCTAGACACTCCTGGTCCGTTAGAGTTGAGACAGGATCTTCTTATCCTGGCACAGTTTCTTATAGCCCAAAGAGCTCTTTCCCACTTAGCAGTTAGCACGGGATAGACAACAAAACAAGTCTCCCTTTCTTTAGATTTAGTCTTGTCTTAAGTGGAAATTCTGTATATAGAGTGAAATATTATTCTCTTTACTTTCTTGGTTGAGTACAGCTTTTTAAGTCAGGAAGAGTAACATAAATTACTTTTAATTACACAACTTTAGAAAAGTAGCACATGTATAAAAAAAATTGAAACTAAATAATGGTGTAGAACTGAGATTGTCAAACTCTGGCCCATGAGCTGGTCAGTTGTTTGTTTTTATAAGTACACTTGGAACACAGTCACAGCCATTCATTTACATGTGGTCTGTAGCAGCTTTCCTGCTACAATGACAGAGTTGAGTAATTGAGTTGTTGCAACAGAAACTAGCAAAGCCGAACATATTTACTATTTGATCTTTTACAGAAAAGATTTGCTGACCTTGACCTAGAGGAGCAATGATGCCACATGTTTATTCTGACTATGCACAAAGTTTTCATAACTCTGAGGGCATTCAACCAGACAATATTGAAAGTTTATAGTCTACTGGCCTGGAAAACAATTCTCCCCAAATTAGCCTTCTGTCCAGTCTGCACGTGCTCTTTCAGATGTTACTTCTCTCCCTGCAAGCGAGGCTTATAACAAGGAGGGCCAGGAGTGTCTGCTCACCCAGCCAAGCAGCGTTGAGAGTAGAGATTGCATGACTTCAGAACTAGTTGGCCCATGAAAACAATGACATTTGGACATCTTCATAGTCCTGCTAGGGATTACTCTGCAGGACCCTATGGTGGCTCGGTGACTGATATACCAGAGACCAAGAACAAAGACAAGTGGGACTCACCTGACTGTTCACTGACTGGAGCTGTGAAGGGGTCAGAAGTCAGAGGTTAGCATAGAGCTCACAATTTTGAAATTTTCATTACTCTGATAAATTTCTCAAAAATTCTTTCCATCTTTCTGTTTTTTTTCTATTTCCCTACACAGTGATTAAGGGCTATGACAAGCTACTGGGAGATATGGCAGCTAACCAAAAAAAGTCAGCAGTCTGAATCCACCAGCCACTCTTTGGAAACTCTATGTGGCAATTCTACTCTGTTCTACAGGGTCACTATGAGTCAGAATCAACTCCACAGGGACGTGTATTTTTGGTTGTGGTTGTTACTCCATTACTGGAGCCCTAATGGCCCAGTGGTGTTTTTTTAGAGCTTGGCTGCTAACCAAAAGGTTGACAATTCTAATCTACTTGCTGCTCCTTGGAAACCCTATGGGGCTCTTCCACTCTGTCCTATAGGGTCGCTATGATCGAAATCGACTCGAGGGCAAAGGGTTTTTTAAGACAGCAACAAGTTTTTTACTCCATTATCACCAACAATTCAATCTTCTTCAAACATACAACTAACCCTCATTTCATTTTACAATTACCAGTCAAGTTGCAAGCCCATTCTTTGACCAAAGAGATTGCCAGGAGCAAGTCTTATAATGTTGGATATTTAGTGATTCTCTCCTTTATTTCATTCTCTCCTTCTGTCCTCACATACATGCTTTTCAAGGGAGTAGACACATGATAATGTGGTCACAGAAGATTCATCAGGAAATGAGCATTGGGATAGTTGGGAAAGTTGAACCCACTTTAAATTGATTCCTTTCCTTGGGTTATATTTTATGTTAGAGTTCTTTGACTCAATTAAAAAATATTTATTTCTTGCCTACCAAGTGTAGAGAAAGGAATCATTTTTACCCCAGCAGTAGCTCTCATCTCCTTCATAGCCCTCAATTAAATAGAAGAGCATTAGCAAAGGGTTGCAATGAATCTTCTGAACCCAGATCTTGTAGGTAACTGTTGGAATCTTCACGGTGGAGAAGGGGAGTATTAAACGTTGAAATTATGAAAATTTTATAATGCGAGCATCACATTATTCTATGAGATCTTAGAGTTCAAAAAGAAATGTGTGACCAACAAATAGTAAAGTGGCCCACCTTGAAAATTAAGGAATGGGATGTGTTGCAATTTGATTTTCCTCAGACCCCTGATCTGGCCACCCCCAACTGCTTTGCATCTGCCTCTGAAGCCTGAACTGGAAGCAAACACCTGAACATTCCTACTTGTCCCTGGGCTCCCGTTCAACCCCAGACCACTCAGGAGCTGGACACCTAATCCTGTTGCCACCTCAGTTCTAAAGCAAATAATCAGACTCACCAAAGATGACCAGCAACGAACACAGCAGCATGAGGACCCCTGGCCCAGCTATTTGAGAAGAGATGTTCTCACAGCCACCAGCTGGAGCCTGTGAGCAGGGAATGGAGCCTGCTTTTCAGAATAGGTTTTGTATAATTAGCCCAAAAAAAAAAAAAAAAAAAAAACGGAAGTAGAAGAGATCAGCAAAGTGTTATCACTACTTTCTGTTCTAGCAGTAGCAGAACTGGGATTCCAGGAAGTCCAGTTCCACAGTCTGGCTCCTAAACACTATGATATATTAATATGATGTATTGCTTCTCAATCTTCCTTAAGATAGCAGAATCATTATCCTAATGGCTCAAATCTCTTACCTGAGATTTTCTTCGTTAATTTCTGACTTTCTAGAATGGCATCTTACTAAGATTCAAAATTCTTGCTCAGTACCATTGAAAACATGTCCCCTTCCCTGTGTAATTCACTTTGATTTTTGTACCACAGGCTGGTCCTAAGATAGCCACAGTCTATAAATCATGTATCATGCTAGAAGCTGCTGGGACTCTCATCCTGATTAGATGTCATCCCTATAATATCGTACCTGCGAGAGCCAGAACTTGAAGGGACTGCCTTGTTTTTCCAGGTCTTGCAAGTTGTTTTTCCAGGTTTTGCAAGTTTTCTGCCTTTAACAGGATGCAGTCTTGCCACTTTTCTATTGCTCGTTTTAGTAGAAAATATTTGCGTTTTCATTCTCTGACCGGTTTCCGCTTTACGGAGGTTGTGGCTTTGGCAGTTTTTACTGTATCTAAAAATGTGCTCAGCATCAGGCTGTCCAGACCTCATGCAGCATGACACTTTAAACTACAAAATCATAGGTGGTTATAACCTGGGGACTGACTGATAGTGAAATAATCATGGATTCAATGCCATCTGTTCAGGTGAATACTTAACATTATCACTAATTATGAATGTAGCTCTACTTTGGGAAATGATAATGTATGTAAGTGATATCCACCAAAGCATTGCTTGTAATAGTGAAAAAATAAAATAGTAAAAATGCTCAACAGGGAGGCAGGGCCAAGATAGTGGAGTAGTCAGACCCTTCTGGTGGACCCTCTTACAAGAAAGACCCAAAAAAACAAGTGAATAGATTATATACGGCAATCTGGAAGCCATGAACATCAAAGGCAGAGTTGAGGAACCAGACTGCATGGCAGGGGGAGGGAGAGATGGTTCAGAAGCAGTGAGGAGTTGCCAGACCTGACGCGGTGAGAGCCTGAGCCCTTTAGGCCTAATCAGCTCACGGGTGAGTGGAGAGGCAGGCAAGCAGCTGAGCTCAGGAGATGCATTTTCCACACCAAGAGACACCCACACCAGAGAGTCTACACGGCTGAACAGAACCAGTGAGAAGCAGCCCTCCACGAAAGATAAGCACTTGCATATGGCTTACTGCGCTGATCAAAACACCCCCCATAGGAAAAACCTCTCTCCCATTTACCCACCCTGCTCCCCACTCTGCACTGGGTGCTGGACCAGCTTCAGCAATTGCTGAGTCCCCTGGGTCAAAAGCAGGATCCATCACAAGACCGGAGCCATTCTCCCTGCCTTGGAGAGTGAACAAATTAACAAATGGGGGTGGGGGGAAAATAAACTGCTGGCTCCCCTAAGCCAGGAACCCAGGGTAAGCACAGCTCCTTTGCCTAAGCACAGGCATAAGGGGTCCACGGACTTTGAGCACCTTTCACCCTGCAGAGACTTGTGTGAGCCCATCTCCACAGTGTAGGCCCTCATTACTGCTGTACAACAGGGTATATACCTGAACTCTAACATCAACTGTTTCACCTGTGAAGTGGCAGGTTCTTGACATTTGACACTACTCTGCCCATTAAGCAGGGTCTTCATCTATCCACATCAGGGGCCTGAGGACTGGTGGCTCCACCCATGCCACCTAGCCACCTGCGATAGGGGCCCATGAATAAGAGGTGTCCCCCAGTCCTTACAGCCAACAGTATTAGCTACTTATGGTCCAGCTGCATAACCCACCCACCTATGTGCTCCAGGGAACAGGGACACACCTTCCTCCTGGACACTAGGGGGTGGCTGTCACCCCCTGCCTTGCTCAGAGTATGTCTCCCTGCTGCAGCCAGATGCCTGTGCCTACACTAATCACCCATGCCTGTCGAGGACTGTAAGTGAGAGCCTACACCACACACTTGGTGGCTATCTACCTGGGTACCTGAGCTGAATCCATACAGGGGGAGTGGGCAGACTCCTGAGCTCACATACCTAGTAACAGATCTAACCATCTGGTGACAGGACATTAGAGCTTCAAAGGTGCCAATAATCAAACTAGCTCATATGAGCAGCCTATTTGGGCATATTAAAACAAAACAAGAAGATAGGACAGAGTAAGCAAACATAAAATGAATAAATATAATAACTTATTGATGGCTTGGAGAGAAGAGTCAATATCAAATCACATTAAGAGGCAATCCATGATGACTTCAGCAAGATCCCAAAATAAAGAATCTAGAAATTTTCCAGAGGAGGAAAATTTCTTGGAATTACTGGGGGCAGAATACAAAAGATTAATATACAAGACTCTTCAAGAAATCAGAAAGGAAATTAAGCAAAATGAAGAACACACTATAGAGGAAATTAAAAAGATTAGTGAAGAGCATAATGACAAATTTAACAGGCTGCAAGAATCCACAGAGAGACAGCAATCAGAAATCCAGAAGATTAACAATAAAATTTCAGAATTAGACAACTCAGTAGAAAGTCATAGGAGCAGAATTGAGGCAATGGAAGTCAGAATTAGTGAGATTGAAGATAAAGCACTTGACGCCAACTTATTTGAGGAAAAATCAGATACAAGGATATAAAAAAAAAAGAAGAAACCCTAAGAATTATGTGGGACTCTATCAAGAAGAATAACCTACGAGTGATCGGAGTACCAGAACGGGGAGGATAACAGAAAATACAGAGAGAATTGTTGAAGATTTAATGGCAGAAAACTTCCCTGATATCATGAAAGATGACAAGATATCTATCCAAGATGCTCATCGAACCCCATATAAGGTAGACCCAAAAGAAAGTCACCAAAACACATTATAATCACACTTGCCAAAACCAAAGATAAAGAGAGAATTTTAAGAGTAGCTAGGGAAAAATGAAAAGTCATCTACAAAGGAGAGTCAGTAAGAATAAGCTTGGACTACTCAGCAGAAACCATGCAGGCAAGAAAGCAATGGGATGATATATATAAAGCTTTGAAGGAAAAAAAATGCCAGCCAAGAATTATATACCCCGCAAAACTGTCTCTAAAATATGATCACAAAATTAGGGCATTTCAAGACAAACAAAAGTTTAGGGAATTTGCAAAAACCAAACCAAAATTACAAGAAATACTAAGGGAGTCCTCTGATTAGAAAATCAGTAACATCAGATAACAACCCAAGACTAGAACACGGGACACAGCAACCAGATATCAACCGAGATAGGGAAGTCACAAAAGGAAATCAAAGCTAAAACACTGAAAATAGGGAAACAGATGTCAATATGTAAAAGAT